CTTATTCAGCACCAAAACTAAATCGTAACACCGCAGTTGAACACCTCATTGTAACAGTCCTGGCACGAATTTTTATGAGTGGAGCAAATACTGGAAAAGCAAGGGCGATTGAAGAAGGTAAAAACTGGACATCATAAAAGGAAGAGAATATGACAAGGGAAGTTCAAATTCGTGATGACAAGAGAACGGGAGCTAAAAAAAGTTGCAGCCCATGTCTCTTAACTGGGACAAAGCATTCACTACAGATAATTTGATTAGCTAAATTTCGTCTTTTTCTTTAGCACATAGAAAAGCTGACAGCTTTTCTAGTTTCTCTTACCAATGCGGGTCATCACCTGCTGGTCAGTCTAATGGTTTACTCTGTCTCCTAAAGTGACCAGCAGGTCAAAAATTCTTCCGAGAGAAGCACTTTAATAAGGCTTTAGCCGTTTTTTGGTATCACTGATGTGTACTAAAGTGTTACAAATGCACAACGAAGGCTGCTAAAATCAAAAATCAATCCGTTCTGTGTGCTGGGCAAAAGTACCCGGAAGTATTCCGAGTGGAAGAAAATGCCGGCAAAAAAAAAGATATTCGCTGGTAAATCTATTGATAGCTCCTTCTTTCGAGAATTGCTCAGAAGTAAGCTAATGAAGATTCTGGGAATCAACTTCATGAACCAAAACTCAAAATGCCTTCCTGTGTTTTTCACTTCCCACAACAGCCCGGAAGCGCCTGGAAGCACCAAAAGACCTATTGAGAAGGATGTCGATAGCTCCCTCACTCGACGAGGATTGCTTACATGCAAGTTACTGGCGGTCTGACAAAAAAATAAATAAGATGAATAAATACCATTCATTAAATCATTTCCGCTCGCTGGCAGTTGACGCAACGTTGTGGGTGTTGCTTCGCCGTTGCCGGTGGCAGTCTCACCGTTTGCAGGAGTACCATTTTCTTCTTCGGTACTGTATTCGGCACTTTCTTCCTCATCGTCGTTGAAGGTGGCCGCTCCTTGCAACTTGTCTTTTTTGCTCTTTACTTTACCGGAATGTCGGCGACTGAGATACCTTTTCATGCGACTTTTGATTCCACCAGTGCTTTGGATACCGCTCATTTCCTGGACCTGTAGAAAACGGGTTGAGGTTGTTTTATCATACCATGAAATATATTACACACTATCTGAGAATGCTCTATCGTACTGGTAAACAAGACTACAGAAATCCTGAAAAGCAAAGAGCTTGCAAAGTTTTTCTCTTCGGATGATTTTGTCTTGGTAAGGCCACCAGTGGTTCTCTTTTCGAAGGGTTGACTACAGATTGTGGATTAAGGACAAATAGTAATGAAACTAGGAACTACAGAATTTGTGGGGATACAATGACGATCAATGAAGAAGTGTGGAAGTTATTGGTAAAAATTAATTTCTGGCTTGTATGAAGAAACTTTATCGACAAAATAAATCACTGTATCATAATTCGATACTCTGATCAGTTATTTTTTTGATGCCTTGTTGCAATGAGAAACTGACAGTTTCTTCATTCTTCTCTATTTTGAGCCTTTCTCATCCACACAATTCGATATAGCCGTCCAAGCAAACTGTCTTCCTCCTGCTGGTTTGGATGATTTATAAGGCAACTTTCAAAGAATATGAAAGTTACAGAGTGTGGAAGCCATAGAAGTGACTGCGTCATTTCGCCGTTGGCAAAAACTTACAAAAATATAATTTGGAAAAAACTGATTTTGTGTTTGCGAAAGAATCGCTTCAGGCAATAATTTTGGACGATGGACTTCTTGTAACAATGAGTTTTTGCGCACTCCATACAAAAGAAATTTTTGCCACTCCAAAGCATATTCATGGATTAATAAAAGAAAAATGCAATGTAAAAGTCATGGTTTCCAGGAAAAATTTGTCCTTCAACAAAGACAAATTGAAGGAGAACTGCCTGATTGCTTGTCTCCTGATAAAATCTTCACTCCAAAAACTTTACAAAATATGAACAAAAAAAACTCTTTGTAGTCAGCGCGGCATGGTCAGGATTATCTCTTGAGCAGAGCAGGGAAGAGGCGAATTGTTCATCCTCATATCCGGTACTGTTCTTGGAAAAATTCAAATTCTTTTATGCCAGCTGGCATAAAAGGATTAAATTTCCCTCTTGGTGAGGTACTTTACTGTAGAGCCGAGGAGCGGCAGCGTTCGAAGACAGATGATGGTGCTCAACAAATAGCGACGTCTGGAAACGACTAAAGCCTGCCAAATGCTTCTGTAAAGGGAGCTGTTGAGTGGACAGTCCCTTCAGGAGACGAAACATACGTCGCAATCGCCAACAAGCTGACCAGCAAGTGATGCAGCATTGGTCAAAGTAACTGGAAAAGTTACTGACCGCACAGCTTTAGAATCAGGCTATGAATTGCAGTTCACCAATATTTAAGTAGTTAAATTTATCATAACTGTTACTGAAGTCTGTTTTAAAAAAAAATTAATTCATTTCAGCTTTTTGGAAAATAGACATGTGAACGTAAATTTCTGCAAATTTTCAGAAATTAACAGTTACAAATTGTTTTTTTATATAGTAGAATGATAGCAAAATTCAACAGAACAGCTTTATTTGTCGTAAAATTTTCACCAAATTACGTTTCTCTAAATAAAAGATTTGGTAAGCACAAGCTGATAGAGAGCGAGCATCACTTAGGAGTACACTCCTGGATGGAAGGACTTGGCAGAGGTGCGACGGCGTCTTGATGTAGCCCCGGTATCAAAAACCCGAGAAGTGGTTCCAACACGTTAGAAGGTTTAAAGTGATAAATTAAAAACTAGTGTTCTAAAAATCCAGGTTCAGTTTCCTAAAATTATTAAAAATTAGTTAAAAATCAAAACTTTTCTACTATTCGAGGTACTCAAGGAGCATTCCTGGTATTAACGGGCAACCCATAAAAACCAGCTGTCAAAGCTGTTGGTAGTTACTTCTTTTTCAAAGATAGTTTACAGGCAAACCGTTGGCGGGCTTGACCCTCTTGCAATATGCCAGTACCAATTTATCATCGAAACAAATGAACGAATCGCAGACAGTATGGTTACCCCAGCGGCGGAATCGAACCCTCGATCTACTGCAGGACAAAAGTGTTACTTTTCCACTACGTCATGCCTATGAGCATGGAAATAGAAAATGAAGAAATGAATTCGAAAAAAGTAGTGTGAACCGAAAAATTCAAAAAATGATTTATCCGTATTTCGCTCTTGAACTAAAAATTAGGGATAGGGAAAATAATTGGTTTTCCGGCTGATCAAGGACGAACATTTAGAGGGGATAAAGTGAATTTAAACAAATTAATGGAATAATAAGATGGACCTTTTCAAACTGTTGCCAGAGGCCACCGGTCAAGTGCTTGCAGTAGTCGACCTCGACCTCCAGGGATGACTGAACGTGTTGCATATAGTTATAAAGAAGGGGTATAGCAATGATTGCTGTAAGAGTGGCCATTGTTGATACAGCAATACCAAAAAATGCTGCACGCTTCATGGCTTCGGCCTCTTTGTACCGTAATTTTGGATCGTCATCCATCATGGTGCTCGACTGCTGCCTGTAAAAACAACGAGAATCCGGGGAAAACTTGATCAAAAGTATCCGGTGTTCGCGTCCTTGATAAATTTGCGACACACAAAAAAAGCGCTTTTGTCGTGTTGTAACGGCAGCATGCAACATTTAACAACTAAATGATTCAACCAGTAGGCGAACGGGTAAAATTTGTAAGTACTACTGTGCGAATGAGGAAAGAAGTGTGCCAGGCTCATGAGGGAAGAAAGGAAATTAGGTACTTCAAAATGACAAGAAGGTATTTCGAAACGACAAGAGGTACTTTGAAAGAGCCAATATTAGACCCCAGACTGAAAAATACTAGGCTTCCCGATGCAAGCGTGCGTTTTTGCACTAAATATGAAGCAATCAGGCTGTTAACTGTATAAATAGTTGCAGCTTTACGTTTACCTTGTGCACTCATTACGTAAAAGAATATGAACAATTTTGTTTGCGGTCGTTCTTTGAAAATGACCAGGATATTCAATGCGCAATTTACTCGCCGAAATTTTTGAGTGCTCGTACCTGCAAATCATGCACACCTACGGTCTGGATTTGAAATCTTTAAGTTGCACCTGAACGGGAAATACTCCCTCAAAATTTCAGCTTTCCAGCTTCTCTGATTCCCCAGTTAGCAATTTTTCCGCCAAAACTTTCATATGTTCTTAGTATGCGGGACTTAGATATAAGTGAAAATTAATGTGCTTCTGGAGTGGCACTTGACCAGAGAACCTGGTAATAAAATTTCAGCCCGGAAGCTTTATTGATTGCTTAATTCAAATATTCAGAGAGGCGGATACGCATACGCATGTATCATGGAGTTGCAATGTGCATTTTTGCATTCGTACACATGCAAAAACGCATGAAAACGGTGGGGAAGGCATTTTGGTGGATTAAAATTTATCTCCGTTCTTCAACACTAATTGCTTTTCTCAAGTAAAAGCCCATTCATTATTTGCAAAAGAAGACGATCAAAAGTTGCTTCATTTGTTAATAGCAAAAGCTCTTTCAAAAACCTGATTTTTTGGAAGAACGGGAAAAAAGACAGGCGAGTACTAAGCAGTAAAGAAATCTCAGTGAATGAAGCTAATGATGGATGAACCAGGAGGAAGACACCATGAAATTTTGCCCGGAAGGGATGCCGTTGAATGATATGGGTGAAATTTATTCCACCCACTCTGTCTGTCGTCAGATGTCTTGCATACGCCGCTGCAAAATTTTCTAAAGAATTCGCATGCATGGAACCATAAAATTTCTTCAAATACAACTTTCGGATAATCTCTCTCTTCGAATCTTTTTGTTAAAATGAAACATGTCACGCTGTGCAGGGTTTATAATGGCTGCATTAATAAAGAGGTGATTGTAACGAAATGCATCTATTTAAGTAGTTTAAACAGCTGCTTGACCTTTGTGCATTACAAACTGCTGATCAGGCTGACATTGGTTCGTACCATATAAACTTAACCTAGTAAAATGCGCCACCAAAGTCTTTTTGACATGAGTGGAGCTATAAGGATTTATACCTTCAGGCTTGCTTTGACATGGCCTAGTCCGTTGCCAATGCAGCTTATTAGACAGTAAGATTTTCCAAATCCCCCTTTTCCCAATCCCCACGAGAGGAAGAGAAGGGGTCAATATGTAATAAGCCAAAGGGATTATAGCCCCCGATTTATCAGGATCTAGAAGTTATAATTCAACTAAGGTATGCGCAAGGGCATGTAACGGTAATGAAGGTGAAAATCTGACCTCGTTAGGGAAAAGCTTGACTCGATTAGGGACTAGTTGATTC